AAAGAGGTTATAAAAAGCCAGCTCAGAATCTCATAATCGGAGTCATAGTGGAGGGCTTTAAGGTGAAGCTAGAACTTTTGCTGAAACAAGCGGAGGTCCATCAGTGCTCCTTATGGCTTCTGCTTGATATTACTTGCTTAATGCGCTTACATCTCAAAGCTAATCCATCGAAGGAAAGTCTAAGCAACAGCTCAATCTGATCAAATCGGAAAGCATATAGCGGTTTGGGTAGATGATAACTCTTAGTTCGCCCACCCTCCACATTGGCTGGGAGTTGTAACCGACGACATACATATGCCACTCGATGAAAGCACTCGTCAACTTATCCCGACCTTTGATTTCTTTCCGATTTAACAACTAATCAACTAATAGAGAGAGGAATGCCTGTGAAGGGAGAAAATGGATTATTAGCAGAGATTAATAATACGGTCTTTGTCAGAAACTTGTGTTTTAGTAATCGTCATCCATTTTTAGTAAGAGAAATCGGTGGTGTGGCGCCGCTCTCACACCGCCGCATGGATGGCCTAATGGAATCTCATAATTCACCCGTAGGAAACAAACCCTTCACAAGCTTTTTCTTATCATTGAGTCGATTGATCGGTGGCAATTATGAGCACAAAAATAAAAATACCAACACTACAATTGTTAGCTTCTATATGTCACTGCATAAGCCAAAGGTTCAGCCAACCAAATACAGCTGATGCACGGAAGAATAAAGTTTTCATGACCACTTAAACCATGCCCTTCTGAGAATAGAGAGAAGCATGAATATTGCCTCTACGTGATTTCAGCGCCGTGATTGTGCAGAAAGCCCAAACTAGGTAGCCCATCTTCATTTTCCCGAAACTGTTCTTAATCTTGGGGTATGTAGTTATCAAGGCTATCACGTTGAGAGGACCCAGAACGTCCTTCCCTACTCCGCTTTCGAGTTCCCGGGGGGTACACCGCGTTCAGTATCGTCGTTTGTCATTTTGCCGAAACCGGCAGTCGCACTCGTGACGACCGGTGCCAGCAATTGTGTTGGGACCCTTCATCTTTGACCGCTGGGCTCGGCAAGCGGACGTCACGATCGCGACTACTCGGTTTCGGCAAGATGACCACAACAATTGTTTCCATCCTCTGCTTTTTTTCTCCCAAGCCGTATTGTACCGCATTGTGACCCCGTATGGCGAGAGCATGCCAGACTATCTGAAATGCCATAAGGTCAGTGGTGGCAGAATGAATCTCATCGTATACTCATTTTGAATTTGATGCCGTGACTTGTAAGTCCCAATTTTTTCTGTACCTTACTATCAACTAATGTGCCTACTTAATATTTTATCATTGAATATCAGGTGAGCATGCTTGGAAGATACATGCCTTTTCAGAAACGGCTTCCTTTACAGAAGCGAGTACCCCGTGTGGAATGCGAAACGCCGACGTTAAACTCGCTCGCCTCCGATCTCTGTCATCTCACCGAACCGAACGCAGCCACCGTACTCGACTCGTTGGCACGACGATATCAGCAAAATGTCATTCATGTGGGTGATTCTATCATTCATCGTCTTATCATTTTCTGTCAGAACTATTTCTGACAGCAACAAATGGCAGGTGGGGTCGTTAGTGCGGAGCTTTGACCGAGGCCTGAAGAACATTGGTGGGAGTGAATGGATCTCTAAACTTCATCTACCGTTTCAAGTGGGGCGGCCCACTGTTTTACTGTACCCAGTGCCTTTTGTCATACAACTGGCTAGAGTTCCATTCTCTTCTTTTTCAGGTTTTTCAACTTCTCTTGCCTCACAGCTGTCTACTCATCTTGCACTACTTTTTTCCATATCTCCCACCTGTGTAATGACCGCTAGTCATGCGGAGGGTTCGAATGTTCGGGTGTGCAAATGCAACCAAAGTGAAACACCCAAGTGTATTACTGCAGAGTTTCACGCTGTTGCCACCACCAACGTGGGAGGCGGTGGCGATGGCATTCTATTTCCCGTCTGTCGGAATGGACAGCAAAACCCTGCTGCTTCACTGCAAACCACGGGCGAACAGCCGTCAAAAGTGTGTGATACTGACATTTTTCGTTCATTGTTAGAGCAGAAGAAGATGAACGCAGCATCGCCGACACCACACGATTGTCATCTTCCGATCAAAGTCTACCAAAGCGCTGACGGGGAAATCAGGGGGCTAGTCAACTACCATGAGAAAGCTCAGAGAGCAAAAAACCTTTTTTCATTCACTTCGAGCATCCTTACGGCAGTTGACCAATTCACCGATGCTCTGTTGAAGGATGGATGCCAACATGTATCAAGTCTTGAGTAGTAAGCAAAACTTTCATTGTCTTTAGTGATCAAAAACGATCCATGCCTTCCGAGCATCATGTTTATACACTGCATTGCCCAGGTCTTATACAACTTCAATCAGTTCTAGTCAACTAGCTATTCTCGTTGTTTTCATGAATTTCTGAAGACGGCTGCCTCTGCATCTTGAAGGTAGCGGGCTTTATGGGTTGAAGAATTGAGACTTCGTCGTTATCTCATCAACGGATCCATTCTCTTAGGTCACAGCTGCTTTCAAAATGCCTACTCGTGAATCTATCTCTTCACAAACAAAAGTTTAAGACCTTAAGGCCGATTTATCCACTTTCTGGGGAGACCTTGAGGTAACCACTTCTTGTGACCCCTACCGAAACTGAGCTAAGCGTGTACAAAGTTTTGTCAACCTATGAAGATCTGCCTGCTGTCTCTCCACTCCTTTGATAGTGTTAACCAGTTGGTAAAAGCAGAACAGCGTTTGAAATCTATGGAACAAAAAAAATTAAAATGAATTGTAGAAAAATCGAAGTTGACCAAACGACTAATATTCCAGCCATTATTTGGGGCCCTTCTATGATTTCAGAGAACTCCCACTTTGGATAGGATGGGATACTTTTAGCAATTCAGTCGCTATGCAGACCTCTCTGCT